GGAAAAAAAAGGAAAAAACCCCAAAAAGGGTCAATTCATAAGCTGGCTTATATGACAATGAGCATCTGTAGTAGTTGTTAAGGGTACCTATGACATGTGTTGTCTTTCTTTAGTAAGTGAGAGAAGTATTTTATCCAAAGGGAAAACTTTACGATACTTGAGATATAATGAAAGGGATCAGAATATTATTTAAAATCTAAGGTAATTTCTGGACAAACAATGAAGATTTCATGCCCAAGGGTACATTTTCTGAGAGTTCCTTCCAGTGGGTCTGGGACAGCAATTCTTATTCAAGCCTATAAACAGTACAGTGTATTATAAATAACATCAAAGTTCTTCACCAGAATTAAGTTTGAGGATGAAGGAGGCCCCAATAAACACACTGTAAAGCAGGATGTTTAATATCCACTGAGTAATTTTAGGATTACATTAATAACATATACATCAAACATCTCTTAAATGCATAACTGAAGGCATTGCTGCACATTAATACTGTGAATTTATCAGTATTTATCCTTGCTTCCAGATAACAACATGCTTCAGGTGTAAAAGAGATTTTGGGTCATCATTCAAAACCTGTTGTACTGAGACCAACAGCCTCTAAGTGCTTTTCGGAGTCTTTTGCTTTGTTCTAAAACTACTTCAAAGCTAAAGAAATGTCCCTCTTGAAGAAGAAAGACATTTCTTTCAAAAGTTTTATGTGTGACATTGAAGTCACTTATTGGGAAAATGTGGAGAACACCATCAATTTCTAGCTCAGGAAAAGACTTCATTCTAGGAGGATGAATAAATCCATTAGACTCTCTCTTTTTCAGAAGAAGTGAAAATGTAAATCCTTAAACCTGTAAAGTGGAGACACAACCTTGCTGCAGAGGAACATGCCATTGCTACTGTATTGGGATTGCATCAACTGCTTCTGTAGAAGCTGCCAGAAGCTTCTTCCAGGTCTGGCAGTGCCAATGCCAGCCAGCTCCAGGACAAACCTGCTTCTGGCCAGGGCTGAGCTAGTTAGAAATTATGGTAACTCCTATGTTAAGAAGGAGAAGAAGAAGAACTCCTATGTTTAAGAAGAAGAAAAAAAAAAGAATGCAGATCTAATTGCAGCCAGAGAAGATGGGAGTGAGAATATGTGCAATGAACAGTTCTGCAGACACCAAGGTCAGTGGAGAAGAAGGGGCAGGAGGTGCTCCAGGCACCGGAGCCGAGATTCCCCTGCAGCCCATGGAGGTCCATGGGAGTGCAGAGATCCACCTGCAGCCCATGGAGGAGATCCACAGCAGAGCAGATGGATGCCCAAAAGAGGGCTCTGAACCTGTGGGAAATCCATGCTGGAGCAGGCTCCTGCTGGGACCTGCGGAGCTGAGGTGAGGGGAGCCCACACTGGAGCAGGATTCCTGGTAGGACTTGTGTCCCCATGGGGGATCCATGCTGGAGCAGGCTGTACCTGAAGGAATGCTCCCTGTGGAGAAATGCCTACATTGGAGCAGTTTGTGAAGATCTGTTGCTCATGGGATGGATTCACATTGGAGGTGTTCATGGAGAACTGTCTCCCTTGGGAGAGACCCCACGGTGCAGCAGGGGAAGGACTCCTCTCCTTGAGAGTGGCAAAAACAAGTGTGAAAAACTGACTGTAACCCTTATTCCCTGTCCCTGTCTCCTTTTGCCACTGGAGGGAGGAGGTAGAGCTGTGAGGGAGTAAGGAAGGGAGAGGTGGAGGGAAGGTGCTTTTAAGGTCTTATTTTACTTCTCATTATCCTGCTCTGATTTTGTTAGTAATAAATTCAATTAATATCTCTAATTTGAGTCTGTTTTCTCACGGACAAATCACTCATTAGTGATCTTTCTTTGTCCTTAACTCATGAACCCTTTGTTATATTTTCTCTCCCCTTTCCAGCTGCAGAGGAGAATGAGAGAGCAGTTTTGGTGGCATCTAGCCAGGGTCAGCCCACTACAGTTACCAACATGACCTAAAATGCTAAGTACTAAAGCAATTACAGTCCCAGTCATTTAAAGAAAGAAATCACATTTTCCTGGAATATTTTCAAATAGAAGAACAAAGCTCCAGAAAATTGACTGTGGAACATAATCCTCCACTCCTCCCACTCTCCAACAAGCTAGATTAATTTATTTATCTTTCACAACAATAATTTCTATGGTTCTGGCAAACTGATTCAGCTACTCAGAAGAAATAGACTATTTTGGAATAGGAAAATTATGTGTGTAGCAGGTGTTCCAGCAATTTCAATTAATTGCACTCTCAAAAATGATACTATGAAATGAAAAAGTCCTCTGATTAGAAACTCCATTAAAAAATATGTATATACATTTATTGTTATGAAATAAAGACAGAAGTGCTGCTATGCAGGCTCAGAGCTGCTAAAGCTCTAGAACAAGCTAGTATTAAAAATTATATTTATAAATGAAATTTAGAGCCTAACGGGGTCACAGCTCTCTTGACTAGTCTTAGTCCAAATAAGCATAAAAAAGATGCACATTGGGTATTTTGAAACACAGCATCTTCAGAATTCAGAGGTATCTGCTCCTTGTACATCTGAAGGGGAGAAATAGACTTTCAAGGTAATGTTCAGAGCACCTAAGGTAGTATCTTGCTCTTCAGTCACTTTCATCAGGGCCCTCTCTGCACCCATGAACTGCAAAAGGGAAAGCTGGAACCCCCAGTGCAATGATTTACAGTCCTAAAACATCTACAGAAAGTGAGGCAAAGCAAAGATCAAGGAGGATTTATGCCTTGTTTAAACTACTACCTGAGCATTTTTGTATCATGTCTTGTGGGAGAAGGAAAGGCCTTTAGTAAAGCCCACTGGATTTTTTTGATAGAATATTAATTTAAATACATTCATTTCTTTCTCTGCTTGGGCTTTAACTCTCCTTCTTTGGCATTTTTTATTCTCTGCCCAGTGGAACCAGGTATTACTGAAACATTTATAGTTTCTTCCAGAGGAAAATAGTAGAGTAAATGTAGTAAATATATTTCAATACCCTTCATACTGTGACTGTTATGATGTGGAAATATCATTTGTTAAAGCTGAGAAAAGGCAATAGTGGTGTGCTGCAAGCTACATGGTCCATGCATTGGCCCAAGCACAAGAATAGGCTGTAGGAGACCTGATTGTGGTGTTGTTGGTCTACCAAGGGACTTTGATGCACAAAGTCAAAGGATTTTCTTGCCCTTCCTGTAAACAGCTGAAGTCAAAAACACTAAGACTCACCCTAAATCCTTCATGCACTTTAACAGAGGACCAAATGTCATAGTTTTATGATATCATGAAAAGTTACCCACAACTGAAATATCAGCTTTTATCTGGACAATTCAAGATAGCAAACACTTTTCTCTTTTAATAGCTTTTCATTTTATGTTTTTCTTTGATGAAGAAACAAGTAGCTGGAGAGAATAATCTGTTTCCAAGAAAACAAATAGGACTGATCATCCTGTTTTTCATTCATTCATTCACTGTTCATCTTGGTAAAAGCAGGCATTCAGAATTAAAACCTGAGTTGTGTTTTAATCTTGAGTTTTTAAATCACAACTTTCCAGACCTTCTACAAGTTTCACTATGTTTTATAATTTCTGAGAATACTTAAATTACTTTTTTTTTTCTCCTTACATAGAAACTGATATCGTCAAGATATTAAGGGACATCTTCATGGAATCCTGTGTAGTCACATTTATACTTTAAACGTGACTACTTAATGTGACAAAAAGTACTAACACCAAGGACCCAAGGTCCTTAAATCAACCTGTGAAGAGAGTGGAATTTGAGGGTGAAACTGAGAACACACCAAGTAGATGCCTGCAAAAATGGATTGAATTCAAGCAGTTGCCAGATGCTGAGCATGGGTAACCAGACTCAGCAGCGGGCACTCATTCCATGTGATAGCATTTCCCCTCCAAAGCCCATATGCTCCACAGTATGGGCTGAGGTGCTCAGACCAAATTAACACCTGCCTTGACCCCTGTGTAAAGATCCTGACAGTAGATCCCATCTGCTGACACCACACTTCAGAACAGAGGACAGCTTGTTTTCAACAAGGATGTATTTTCATCTGGAGCACAGACGCCTTATTCCCCACAGCACCTCAGAACAAGGACAGAATGTTCCAATAGAACTTCACTCTTTATCTTCACCAGGTAAATCTCTTGGTGAATTTTTACACTGCTGCTGGCACTGTCAAAGTTAATATTGTAACTGTTTCATGGCTCAATGGAGGGAGCTAGCCTAGCTGGATGTGAGTCTAGCAGATATATCCAGGATTACCTGATGCTCCGGGGAGCACTTTAAATTTTGCAAAAAGGTACTCTCAGACATACAGCAGTCATCATCTTGAAAACAAACCCAGACCAAAGCCCAAGCATTCAACTGGCCGAGTTTCAAGTATTTGAAAAATCTTCTTGTGGGCAACAGCTGTAACAAAAATCAGAATTCCTGCTGTGAAGCAAAACAAAGAGTTCAAAATTAATAAATACATTTTGTTGGTTTCACTAGCCTTTCTGAAAAATTTGCTTTCTAATTCCAGAGAACCTGTAATTCACTAATGTAAAAACATATGCTCAATTCTGATATTAATATAGTGCAGTGGATAGCTATAATTACTTCAACAGAACAAGGAATGATATCAGCCAATATGTACTGTAAGTCAGGCAAGATATTTATTTTGTCAGCAGTTGGAATATGTAGCTGCTCATGTTTGTTACTATTTCACATTCATCATTACGTTTATTTGCTTACTTACAAACTGGTATGAAGTGCTACTGTTCTTTCCAGCCAAATAAATTACAAATTACAGACATCATAAACATTATACAGAAATATGAATTCCACATGAATGGGACGCAGAATGAGGTGGGGGGTGGAGGGGGGAGGCAGAAGGAGGTGCTCACTGTTAAAGATTTAAACCAAATTCTGCTGTGAAGGAGGATCTGAAGGCTTGGAAATCTGTGCTGCCTGTTGTGTACGCAGTAACACATCCATCCATTCGGTTTAATATTTGCCAGGGAAATCACAAAGCCCTCTCAGGCTACAGCAGCATATAATCTCCTTGAATGTTTTCCTGAGCTCCTGACTCCGGAATGCATAGATAAGTGGATCGATGATGGAATTGCACATGATGAGGATGAGGTAGAAGTTGAAGTGGGACATGAAGCACACACAGTAAGGGTTGTAGGGGCAGGAGATGTAGAAAATCAGGTGTAGGAAAAATGGAGCCCAGCACACAACAAAAACTCCAATGAGGATGGTGAGAGTGATGGCCCCTTTCATGTTGGCCCCTTGGCGAACAGGGCCAGTCCCTGGAAGAACAGCAATCTTTTTTATGTGCATACGAGCCATCATAAACATGTGGACATAGAGGGATGCCATGAGAATGAGCATAGTGAAGAACATGCTGATTAGGCAGATGATGACAACACTGCTGTCAGAGTAAATGATGAACAAAATGCCTGAGACTGTGCAAGCAGCCCAGATGCATGTGATGATAACCCCTACACGCTTCACTGTCATGATGTTATGATACTGGAGGGCGTAAAAGATGGTAAAGTACCTGTCCACTGCTATTGAGAGAAGACTGCAAATTGATGCAAGCAAGGAACTGCAAATGACTGAGTCGATGACATTGTCAATGTTTATGGTAAAGCTCTGTGCATCTGTGTCAGTGTTGTTTAGCAGCGTGATGACAATGGTTTCTGATCCATTAGATACACTCACTAGCATGTCAGCCACTGCCAAGCTACAGATGAAGAAGTACATGGGCGAATGGAGGTTCTTGTTCTTGGCTATCGCCACAATGACCAAGACATTCTCCAGCAAGCTGATGATGCCCAGAGTCACAAACACTTCAGGGGATACAAAGAGTTGCTCGTAGCAGCCTCCTGAGGAGTGGCCCTTTGCGTTGGGCTCGCTGGCTCCTCCATGCAGTCTGTAGCTGTGGTTCCGGAAATGGAGAGGTTGGAGTGTCCCACGATGCTGGGTGAAATTCATCTTAAGGAGATCCCTTTTGGCTTCCTGCTTTTAAAACTCCTGTTCCTTTTGCATTCCTTTGAAAACCTTCTTTGGCTTTTCAGCTTGGAAAAAAAGAGAAAAATAAGCTAGGACTGAGGCAGGCAGCTGTTCAGAACACTTTGACTAATGTAAAAAAATAAGATTTCAGACTCAGAAGAACTGGTTTACACCCTTACAGACACAGTTTCGGATCATCATCACATTTACCTTGGTGATCTATGTCACGGAGTCCCAACAGTCTCTATGTTTGCATCAGATTCTCCCATATGGTCAGTTCCTGTTTAGCTCACTGGGATGCTGCGAGGCTTTTTTGGTGCTTTCCATTAAAGAGACGCGATCATAAAATGCCCAAGTGACTGCTGCGGAGCAGGAACTATTTTCAAACTGCAAGCACCCAGTCTCGCTGTCAGGCAGTGCATGCTGGCTGCCGTGTGTGGAAGGGAAAAATATTCAGGGCATTCTCCGCCTCTGCTTTTTCTTTCCAGCCAATGGGACTCAGGAGCCGCAGAAAGTGGAGGGGCTGCTGATTCTGAGCCTCTGTGAAACACGGCACAGCGGGTTCAGATGCAGCACAAGTTACCAGGAGCTACAGGAAGGCAGAGATTTGCTTCTCTTCTTTAGCTTCGCAGAATAATATTTTGATACTGAATTTCAAATAGTGAAACTTTTAGAACAGTACTAGCAATCTTACAGAATTCTTGCTGCAATAGTGATAGATTTTATTTTTCAGACTCTGATTTACTCTTGCTCCTTCTGTGGCACAAACTTGTTCTGCCTCGTATGTGTGGCAAAATAAGAACAGGGAAAAGAAGCAAAAAAATACATATATTTCCTCTTGGTTCTCTCTGCCAGGTCCCCTTTGCCTTGCTACTATTCTATGCCTTAGCTGTCCATTTCCAAGGTGTGTTGCAAGGTTGCATTATACTCTCTAGTAAGATTCTTATAATTTTTAAGATTTGGAGGCAAGATACGGACCAAAACCAACATGACCCAAAGTCACAAATGGCTTAATAAACTGTCGTAAATAAAGTATTTTTTTCCAGGTAATAGACTTCTTAATAATCTTATTATTGAGAAAAAAATATAATGGAGTTCATTGCAGAAGCCCTGTCACTGTCAAGAATTAAGATACTGGGCAGAAAAAGAAAATTCAGTATTTAGAACAAATCAGCAGGAGACAAAGTTGGAACATTTGTAGGTAAAGTAAGAAATAGAGCTCATACTATGGCAATGACTCAAAAGCATCAAGAAAATCTCCTAAAAGTCCATATGGCCCAGGAGCCCTAGGAGCACAGGGATATCCCTGGCCTTGCTGGCCATGAGCTAAAAGTCAGCTTGTGTGCAGTCTGTCAGGAAAAGCCCTTGAGAATAAGGAAGAAAAGAATGCCGAAGTAACATGAAGAGACAGGACAAAAGTTGTTTTGCTGCTACTTCTTCAAGCATTGCAACTGAGGATTGAAAAACAAGTATGCTGAAAAAAGTCTATAACACAAATGGAATTTAAAGGCCGTAGGAAAGTTAGTCATTGCACCTGGCAATAATGTTTACAAGGAAACTGTTTGAAAGAACATTTCCAGCTGACTACCAGGAAGGCTCTGGGAGGATCTGTGTCTGATACAAAAGACTATTTCCTATAACATCTCAAAATGTTTTCATCTTCTGTGCACTACCTGGTTTAAAGTCAGAGGGCTAATAAAGAGGTACAGGATGACAGAATGCATGTAGTAGACTTATCTGTATTTAACATATCAGCATCAGGATGAATTGTGATTTTACTTTCATATTTCGATTTGCTGTAGACCTATGGTTATGAAGACCTATATTGGAAGAAAAGCCTCACTCAATTTTTTCTGGCCCCTACTTCAGATAGATTGCTTCATAAAGCTGAAACATAAACCACCAAGACAAACAATATAATTTGTGGCACAGGAAATCCCACATTTATCAGTTTAGAATACACCATTTACCAGCAGCATGCTTGAAATTAAATAGTTTGCTGCTGAAAGGGTGAGATTTGCTTTCCTGTCAAGACATAATGCAAGCCAGAATTCAAAAAGATTTATCTAGTTACTGATCCTCAGGCTGCTATACAGTATTCACTATCTCCTGTCACAGACAGGACACGCACACCCAACCCTTAAAGAACAGAACTACAGAAAAATTATACAAAGCCTGATGTGGGAGAACAGCATCCCCCCCAGATAACCTGTCTTTTCTACACCTGCATCCAGAAATGTGTAATCTTCAATTTATCCCAGGGGAGAAGCCATTCAACAACACTCTTTCATGAACCTCTCCATGCTGGAAGTGCCCACAACACAGGGATTTCTCCCTTCACCTACTTAGGTGGACCTAGATCAGGTAAGCCTGGCAAGAATAAAGAGAAGCTTCCTCCAGGGAGGACTGCCCCATTTGTTCCAATTATCTGTCTGTCTATTCCCCTCCTGGCTCCTCCCTTTTTCTGCACATCCCCATTTATCTTTTTATTTGCTCTCTTCACCCAGATGCTATCCAGATGATGATGCTTCATCTTTGATTTTTCACTGAATGTGTCATAAAAATGTAAAATTGGTTATGACAATGGAAAGAAAAGCCCACAGCCATCACTCCACTACAAATTTCTGCTTATGCTCTGCATTCTTGGGGCACAATTGTTTTGGTGCTCACCACTCATATTTGTGGGATGAAGTTTCATGACTGGAAGCAGCAGACTTAAGGTAACTTAACAACTTAGTTGAAGCACTGAAGAGGTGATGTACCATCAGCCTGCTCTAACTAAAAGGTAAAACATGCTGTATGAGCACTTCTTTAAAATGAGAGAAGATGTATATATGTCTAACTACTTCCATGGTAAAGGATGGATGCATGTCTCAGGCTGCCATTTAATAAGAAGTAAACCATATAATGCTAAAATTGTTCAAAGTATCCTAGCTGTCTCATGCCTGAAGACACGTTAGTATTTCAATTATCTATTTCAAAGATGATAGGAGTACTGTATAACCGATATTGCCTAAATTATTTCTTAAATTTTAAAAACTAAAGCTGAGACAATATTTCTTTTAAAAGTGGTGGCTTGCAAGCTTTTCAGCACCATGGGAAACCAGCCATGGTTGCAGAAAACTAGAAACTTATAACAGTGATATACTAATATGAACTCCAGCTCTTAAGAGAAATAAACCATCAACAAAGATTTGAGCAAAGCCTCCCCTTTAAATATAATTCCCTCATGTTCTATGCTCTGTTTACAGATATTCTTTGACATCCACCTTCCAGACAGGGTTACAGTCATCTCCACCTCACAATGTTTTTGAGAGATGAATTATCCTCTGGCAGTTGAATTTGAAAGTCAGTAAAAAGCATTCACTGAAATCAATGAGCAATCCCAAAAGTGATACAAGTAGACAGGCAGAGACATGAGCAGGCTGTACAGGTCCACTGTGGGAGAAAAAGAAAGGTGGAGGGAGTTTGCCCAGGCCCTTTCTTGCTCAAATGCACAGTGTGGGAGATCGCTTTGAATCCCATGACCACGTTACTCCAGCACAGAGGTAATATTTAGCACGTCAGCATCTGTAAGTGAAAATAGAAGGGTGGCTGTTGGTAGCTGGGTGGAAGGAGGAACCAAAAGAATCAGATTATTAACATTTAATCAGTCCCTTGATGTTGTGTGAGCACACTGGTATTGTGCAAAGGGTGATGCTGCATCTGCATGCACAAGCGTAATTCATGGATGAGTTTGATTACGTGTGCTCAGATCCAGTTTTTCTCTGCATTCAAAATCTCAAGTCTGTAACTACAGTAAAAAATGTAGTATATTTTAGCAAGCTGGTTTTGATTTTTTTTTTTTTTAAAAAAAAAAGAGCCAGGCAATTAAACTTTGGAAGCTTCTATGAGGTTTTAGTCTGCATCATCTCTCTATGTGACAGCAGCGGCAAATTCCATCTAATGCTCAAAATGCTCACCAAAAATGATTAAAATAATGCATATACTTCTACCTCCTATCCACAGATGTCTTTGGAAGTACTTCTTTGATTCTTTCTAGTTCACTAAATTAGACTTTGAGCATTATGGAGACATTGTTTGCTCATGTTTTTGGACCAGTAGTTTTCTTTTGGTTTCACAACATCCCTCTGGATCAAATCTCTGTTCTTTGGTCTCCACCATTCACCCCTTCAGCTTACTACAACCTGCAAATCTCTGGGTGAGGCATTCTGTATTGACATCCCTGTTAGTGATAGTGATATAAAAAATCATTCCCAAATTCTATTGTTTCCCAGTTGTCAGGATTTTGATCCTAACTTTTGGGACCATATGCAAATAAAAATACTGGTCAGTGGGAAACTGGTCTAATACATTTTCACCTAGCATTTTATTTTAGGGCACTGATAGCCTCATAATCTTACTCTTTTAAAGTGAAAGTAAGTTTTAACTCAAGGGACTACAGTGTCAAGAGCACGAGTCTTGGTAGCTTGCCTCTTTTCTTCATGTCTGCTAGTTACAAGAATAGGAGAACAGTTTAGTCAGTCTGGAGACTGAAAGCACATAAATGTTAATTTTTCTGGCAAATTATACATTTTCACTTACTTGAAAATGCTGTAAATGTGCAGAAGGGGAATGTTTTTCACTTAAATGGCATGTGAAGTACAGAGGCTTTAAACACCAAGCTGTTTAAATCTGATCTCTTTGCTATTTTGTGATCAATACTGTGATCATGGATATTATTAATTTGAAATCAATGCAGCAATCACTATTCTTGTGGTTCTTTCTCCTTCATCCCATCTCTCACAAATAATCAATTTTCTTTTCCTTGCTTGTAGATTTAGGTGCTTGTCTGTTGAGACTCATCTGAAGCCCTTTGTCCAAGTTACTCTACAATCTCCTTGGTGTTGATGTCCCTCTCCAAACATCTCTCAAAAAAAATACAGCAACATCTGGGTTTAAGTACAAAATAAATATTGCCATCAATACAGATCAACAAACCAAAAAACAATAACATTGATTTATTTTTTTTTAATAAATAAGCCATTATTTAAATGATTTATGATTTTTAAAAATAAGCTGTTAACCTGGTCTTTTCCTTTGCTCATGACCTTTGAACATAAATATAGCAGAAATAATGCTTCTAACATCTACACATGCTTCTTCACTCCCTATATGCACCTGACAGCACTACCATTCTTTGTCTCTCTTTAGATC